CACAGACGTTGGAGGCATACGGCTCGAAACCGAACCCGCGGCCTCCCTTGCAAACTGCACGATGCTACCACCTATCATAATGTCAGTCAAAGCTTCCTACGGATCTGGAGGGGGAACTGTCCCAACCCACATTTTCGAACGCAGTCCAACGCCTCATCAAACGCTCTCAAGGTGGGATTGTACACACAATCCACTCCATTACCATCTGTAGCCCCCAGCAGCGTGGCTACAAAGAGCCCGGAATCCGCTTCTAAGATACGATCCTCTGAAACACCATGCCTTTCTAAAACCTCTCGCTGTAAATCAGCCTCGGGGCCGACGACAGTAGCAAAGACTTCAGCCCCTGTAGCAACGGCCAACTGAACCGCGACGAGGCCAAAGCCACTGGCGCCGGTATGGATCAACACCTTGCGGCCTCGCCGAACCCTTCCGATATGGATGAGTGCAAAGTAGGCGCTGACGAGAAAACTTGGGACAATGTCGGCGTCAACGCGTCTGACAAACTGAGATCCGACCTGCAAGAAGTTCCGAATCGAGCCACCGGAGACCAAGGCGGCAACAGTGTCGCCGATAGAAAGCCCCTTGACTTGGCTACCGAGCCGAGTGATTCGGCCCCTGATGTCGGCTCCAACAGTCGACTTCTGGGACCTTCCAAGGACAGTTTCAAGGTCCAGGACAGACAGATGAGATTCACTAAAAACAATCTCAACTTCATCTGCTCCTAATTCCTTCTTGTCTGACTTGATGTAGAACAAGTTGTCGTCGTTGATACCCGGGGCGTCTATCGTGAGCTGAAGACCTTGACTGTCGCTGAATGGCTTCTGGGAGAATCTCCAAGCCGAAACTTGACCTTCAATGATGCGGTTCATGGATGGCAATGTTAAGAGACGAGGAATGTAAATCTTCCCGCCTGCTTCGGCAAACTCTGTGTCCTCCAACTTTACAAGAATTGATCCAAACGTCGCATCAAGCAGGGACAAGATGTTGCCAACGACGGCGGGGTCATCGAGCTTTGAGTCTCCCGCCAAGTCAAAAGTGACAATTGAATTCAGAGGATTCTCGGAAATCAGGGTCCTTGCGAGCCCGCTGATAGGGCTCCCACGCGGATTTTCACAGCTCATGACAGCTCCCCGAGTGATCCAGAGAACGTGGCTCGCGGTTAGGATTGTCCGGAATGCATCGAAGTCATTTTCCTTCCAGTCGAAAATGGAATAATCGCGAGCCTGGATGCCAGAGAACTCAAGCAGGGAGATAACGATGCTGCATTCGAGAACAGACGGCTCTTCAAGGACTTTGTCGACGGCCATGAAAGAGACATCGAAAGGGACACGCTTCGTTGCTTGGAGTCGTTCGATAGCCTTGACGAAGTTTTGAACCTCTGTGCCAAATTTTGCTGGAGTAATGACGACGACAGGACTTATTATAAAAGACGGCTGGATCTTTCTATGGGCCTTCATGAGGAGTCCGCCCTCGGCCTCCATGAAATGCACATCTTGATCACCCTCTTTCATGACCTGATCGGCGATCATTTGCATACGACTAATGTCTTGGGTACCGGAAGTACTTTGGAATTCGCCAACCTGCTGCTCATCAGGTTCTTCTGTGGGGTTGATTTGCATCAACAGAACGCCGGTCTCTTTCAGCTTCGGTTCCAAGATGCTGAAATCCACCTCAACGTCGTTGAAAGCAACAATCAAGTCGTACTCACTGTCGACGGCCGAAATATCAGACTCTTTTCTGACACAACGCTCAAGTGGAGTGTCTCTCACAGAGGCAAGCAGTCTCATGGCGACATCGTCTCCATCGCCCCCAATGATGGTGTATTGGCGGATCTGGGGAGTGGCGTCTGGATCCGGGCTGCCCGCATTTAGAGTTGCTTGTGAGAGCTCAAAACTGCCACCAACCTGGAGTATCGACAGCCCGGGGTACTTGTGGGCAAGCACAGCAACCTGTTCACTGTATGAGCTCGGCCGAGCGAAGAGGGCATCTTCTTTCCAGATGATCTGGCTGCAAAGATTGCGATTGCTGCGCAGGAAACCCCCTTCTTCGGGAGATATGGCAGGCAATGCGGCCAAGCTCAGACCTTCAATGACAACGTGTGCTTGATGTATTGATTCCTGCTTCATGAAAATGGTTGCCTCTGCGTTCCGAATGCCAGCCGCACTGACTGACGAGTAGCCGGTGAATTCTGCGCCCGATGCTGCACCGCCCAGGTCTGCAGCCACAAAAAGTCTCCTGATGGCAACAGGGACCATGGGCACCGGCTTGATAGCCAAAAGAGTCTGAATCATGGCATCCAAAGTGGCAGGGTGCAGAAGGTGTGGGTATTCGAACTGGCAGGGCATCTTGGACTTGGTATCTGGGATCGTGACTCTGCTCACGCAGTGGCCATCGCATGTGCGGACCTCTGCGATGTTCTGAAACAAGGGTCCATAGTTCATCCCGACGGAGTCAAGATGCTCGTAGAGCTGCCGCGGAATGATTGGTTTGTTGCAACTCTTGTTCATAGCCACATGGCAGTCCTCGTACGATCCGAAAGCGCCCTGCCAGTTTCCCACCTTGTAATGGAAGCGTA